GTCCGGGAAGCATCCGGCGGAGGCGAAGGTAGAGCGCGGCGGCGGAGCTGCGCCACCGGTTTGAACGGGGCCACACCTCGTCGGCAAACACGTCCCTCCTCCGGTGCCCCCCCCAAAACCAAGAGGGTTTTATTACCCCTGAGCTCATCCGGAGAGCCCCCCGGGAAGAGATTTGCTCCTCTCTCCGCTGCTAAAGGTGGGGGTTAAGGTGGGGGATAACCCCCCCGGAGATGCTGCAGGAACGGGGAGGGGTTGGAGACGCGTCAACCCCGAGCGCAAAAGGGAAGAGATTTCCCCCCCCAAATTCCCCGTTGATGCTGGGTTTGTGCGGGTAAAACGCTGCTGGAAGTCCTCGCCCGGCTCCGAGACGTGCCCGTGTGTCCTGGTTTGACCACGACACCTCGTCTTGGACCTCGACAGAGAACCACCGCGCGTGTCCCCGCTGTCGAGGTTTTAGGGGGAAATGGGGGAGAAAGGTGCTCAGGATGCCCTGAGGTGGATGGAGCACGTGTCCCAGCAGGGGAGGACGTACCCTCTGAGGGCAGAAAGCGGAGATGGAAACCCTGAGACCACCCCTCTGCGAAGCAGCCCCAGCCCCAGCCAGGGACCGTTTGTGAAGACCAGCACTGGTCCTCGCCTCGAGATTTTGCCCCAAGACGCAGCCTTTCTCCCCAGCAGCACCCCCCCCCTGAAAGTGGACAAGTGGCGGGACCACAGACCTTCTCCACAAGCTCCTTTTGCAGCCACAGCTCTTTCCCAAGCACCTTGCTCAAAGCAAACAACCCCCAAGCGGGCTTTAGATGTCCCTCCGCTCTTGCAGTCCCTGTTGGATGCTCAGGGCTTCCCAAGCAGTGTCCCCCATCTGTCTACTCCCCATCCATCCACCTCCATCCATCCTTCCATCTCACATCCTCCTCCATCCATACGGCCATCATCTCCCATATTCCTCCATCCATCTCCCATCCTCCATCCATCCATATGTCCACCATCTCCCATCCTCCATCCATCATACATCCACCATCTCCCATCCTCCATCCATCCATTCGCCATCTCCCATCCTCCTCCATCCATCCATTCGCCATCTCCCATCCTCCCCCATCCATACGTCCACCATCTCCCATCCTCCCCCATCCATACGTCCACCATCTCCCATCCTCCTCCATCCATACATCCATCTCCCATCCTCCATTCATCATCTCCCATCCTTCCATCCACTTGGCCATCATCTCCTGTTCTCCGCCATCCATATGTCCATCATCTCCTATCCTCCTCCATCCATACGTCCATCATCTCCCATCCTCCTCCATCCATACGTCTACCATCTCCCATCCTCCTCCATCCATCATCTCCCATCCTCTTCCATCTGCTCATCCATCATCTCTCATCCTCCTCCATCCGCTCATCCATCATCTCCCATCCTCCTCCATCCATACGTCTACCATCTCCCATCCTCCATCCATCCATACAGCCATCATCTCCCATCCTCCTCCATCCATATGTCCACACTCCATCCATCCATCCTCCATCCATCCACATGTGTGGGCTACAGGCTGCACACAAGAAGACGAAGGTCCACCTGGGGAGGTTACTGCTGCAGCCAGCAAGGTCGTGGTTGACCGGATTGAGCTGGCAAGGTCAACCCGGGCCCTTGGAGATGGGGAAATGGAAAATCAGGATGAGGCAAAAGCAAGGAAGGAGAAATAAGGTAAGGAAGACGATGTCTTCGGAGGGCAAGATTTAACTCAGGAGAATCTTTCAGAGGAGCCTTCAGGCTCTACTTTGGGATGGGAGATGTCACAGCCAACTGCAAGCCCAGACCCGGCGAGGGGTTGGGATGAGACGGTGTCGATTCTCCTGCCCTTTCCACCAAGCCAACGTAAACTCGGCCGCACGAGCCAACTGGCAAGAAACACGCTGCCCTGCCTGCCGTGCAGCCGGAGCGAACGTGTTTTACCGGGCGGTCTGGTCCTACCCAGACATGGCAGCATCCGCCGGGGGGGGCACAGCCGGAAAACTGCCCCAAGGCTGGAAGAACCAAAAGGACGAGACGGGCTCCATATGAGATGGGGACGTGGAAGACGGGGATTCAGGCTCTGCCGTCACCGGTAACCCCGGGAAAAAGGCTCTCCTGCATCAAACCCTTGAGATGGGTGAGAAAACGACGTCCTCGTAGGTGAGGTGTCCTCCCAGCAGCCCTGTCCACCTCAAACTGGTTTCGCTCTGGATTTGTAGGGAAGGGGCGTCCGCGGGGAGGAAGCGTTTGCTTCGCCGCGTGCTGACGACACCGGCAGAGGCAACGACCATCAAAAACCCCTTCCGGTGAGGCGGGTTTCTCCCCCCGACTCCGGGCAGGCATTGCCCTGACCTCTCCTGCACCCGGTTTCGCAAGACCTCGCCACCGTACGCCAAAACCAGCCGGCAAACTGGGGAAAGCACCCGGTGGCCTCAGGGAGCATCTTCGCTTGGGCAACCACCGGCGAGGGGAGGGGGGGAAAGGCAAAAAACCAGGTGGTTTAGATGCCAAAGCCATATTTTTCCTAATTTCTGGTTAAATACAGGGCTCCTACCTCCCCTGGGGAGAGAGGGTCCGTGCTCCTCGCAGCCCGTCATCCCCGTTTCGCTGCGTGGAGTCAGGGTGAGGGCATCTCCTGCCCCTGGAGGTGGTCTCCCAGGTTGGCAGCGTGAAACCCGGGTGCCCTTAAATTAAGCAGCACAGGGGAAAAAGGGGGGAAAAAAAAAAAAGGGGGGGAAGTTTAACCCCTGAGTGCTGCTACGCTGCCGATTCAGGGCGAAAGATGGGCAAAAGGGGGTCCAAAGTGCTGTGAGCGGGGTCAGCACGGCGGTGGGGACCACAAGTCCCATGGAGATGAGTCCTGGCAGCCAAAAAGCCCTCCGAGGGGTGGCCGGCCACAGCGCGCCGTCACGCTATTCCTTTTCCTGCCACAAAAGTCTTCCTCTGTCACCCCAGCGCCGCCTTCTCGAGAAAACTCCTCCGTGCCGACCGGGGCAAATTGGAAAGGAAACGGACAAAGGTCGCACGGGTTGGTTGGGCCGCTTCCGTACGTCCCGTCCGGGGAAACGCTGCCGACGCGAGGGATGCAAAGAAGCACCTCGGGTGTTTTCTCCAGCGCAGCATCGCACCCCGCACTCGGCTGAACCCAAACCCGCGTTTTTCAGCCTCTTTTCCCCTTCCAGCCTCCACCCCGCGAAGCGTCTTTCGGCTGTAAAGCCACACCATGGTCCACAGCGATGGTACTTCAGGGCTCGCTTACCCGAAATCCTTTACCGGTGCGAGAAAAACACGGGATTGCTCCGCTCACGGGGTCAGAAAATGGAACGTGGTCCTTCACAACCTTAAAATCCACCCTCATCTCCACAATGCGCACTAAAGATGCCGCGAAGGGATGCTCGAGGTCGGAGCCTCCCCGAACGCCGACCTGGAGCAGCCTGGGTGGGATGCAGGGGTGCGGCAGAGTCCCACACGCCGGTGTTGGCCGGAACGGGGTTGAGAGGTCATGTCAGAGAATCACAGAATGGTTTGGGTTGGAAGGGATCTTAAAGATCATCTCATACCA